CGACATCATATCCGTAAACCCATGTTTCGTCACCTGTTATAAGACGTTTTAGTATTTCTGCATCGTTATTGACTTCATTCTTCGTCTTTACATAACCTACATCCCCTATCCTTAAACCCTTTTTCTCCCTCCAAGCTAATGCTTCCACATCTTATCCTTGCCCATTGATCTTTCAAGTAGCCTGCAGTTCCCTTCTCCTGCCAATAATTTTCCAATCCGATCACTACCTTCCATGTTCTGTAGTATTTCCAGTACCCTGATTTATCAATCCTGTTCCAGTTATCTTGCAATTCCTGTTCCGCCAATATTTTCACTGCCATCTCTAATCTACCCAGCCATTCTTCACTCCCCATGTCTTCCCTTAACTGCTCCAACGTTACTCCGTCTCCTACCGATTTCATCGCCTCTTCCCAATCCCTTCCCCATCTCGTAGGTTCTCTGTTGCTTATGGCCCTTAATTCTTCTCTCAAGCAAATCTTAGGTAGTCTATTCTCTTCCATTCCTATTATCCTTGCTATGTAATTCCCCACTCTCTTTAGCGTCTCCAGCCTTAGGCTTCCTAGTCCTAACTCCATTCTCCATATGTAGTTAGGAGTGTTCCTATTTATCCCTAAAATCATCCTTCCCATTTTTGCTTGAATCCTTTCCATTACTTCTTGCTGTTCCCAACCCCATATTTCCGCTCCGTATAAGCCCCCTGATTTTCCCATGACTTTCAACAGATGGAGTCTCTTCTTTATAGAGCTTAGTCTTGCCCTTTTCATGATCCCCCATGCGGCATCTAAAGCTTTCCTTGCCTTTTTCGCCATGTATTTAGTATGAGCTCCATTTCCTCCCCTCTCTGTGAACCAGTAACCCAAATATTTATACTCCTTGACCACTTCTAGTTCCGTCCCCCATATTTCCAGCATAAATTCTTCCCAATGATCCCTCCTCTTCTGCAAACCATCACCTTGGTCTTCTTGGTGTTAACTTCCATTTCATTCTTCCCGCTGTACCTCTCCATACTTCGTAGCATATCCTGTAACCCTTCTGGCGTGTCCGCGACCATAACAATGTCGTCCGCAAATTTCAGTCCATAAATTTTAATATTCCCAATCACTGTGCCACCCTCCTTAATAAGCTTATATTATCTTGTATTTTTAGCACGTTATAATGTATATGTGCGTGCGTGCGTGCGTGCGTGCGTGTGTGTGTGTGTTATTGCTTAAAAGACTAAGTTTATTTAAGATTCTACATATATTTACTTAAAAAAATTTCTGTAAACAATCATTTTCAAAAATATCTCTTATCAATCTATTCTTTTCTCTAGCAAGAATTAATCTGGTGAGGTTTGATCTTATCATTCTTTTTAAGAGAATTTGTTTTTCGATGCACACCTTGCGCTGCTTTGAAATAGCTTTTTCACCACTATCGTTTTTTAACGTATTTAAGCAAGTCCTAAAAACGAAATAAATGTTCAGTAATTATGTCTTCAGCATTTAAATCAAATGTATGTACTGTGTCTAGGACAATTATTTCCTCCGCCTCCTTGTTTTGCACATTTAGCGGAGGTTGGTTATTGTTATCAACATTTTCATTCTGCTCAGCAGCTTCAATTTCCAGCTGAAAAACATAACATATATTAGTATATAAAGGTATACATAAATTTTCGTTGCAATTTTTTATATTTTATCTCGCCGTCGTTTTCATTTTTCATTATTACTAGATTTATTAAAAATCAGTACACTACTGCAGAATGTAATAAAAGGATGCTTTAATGATACGGTCAAGATGAAAAGGTTAGAATACTTCATGCGGGTCTAAATAATGATTAATTTGGAATATTAAGAAAGCCACCAACACCATTAATTTCAATTAAAACTCAACTAAGACTGTAATTTTATTAATTTATATACTTACTCTCAGGTGTTTATTAGTGGAACTACACCGACGAAACTGCGATCAAGCTGATACTTACAGGAACTTGCATGTCATACACGAAACACTGACCTAACATACGCATGTGTATATAGCATAGCGACGTATAGCCTATATAGCACAATGATGTCACCAATCTTTTTGAAAATTACTATGTTGCACACAAAAATTATTCAAACCTTTATAATATTTACTAAAATTGTAACAACACGTACTATTATTTATGTAAAAATTATTAAAATCCATTGTGAATATTGTTTCAGTATTTTCTTATTTTTATAATTAAAACTTTTTACTAAAACCATAGTATTTTTTATTAGTGATTATGATAATTTTTAATATGTATTCAATAAAAATTATTATCGGCTTAGGAATAATTGTCGTAAATATATTAAATTTTTCTATAAACTCTAGGATGCTCTTGTGTTACTATATTTTATAGTAAATTTTACTATAATTGCAGAAAATTTTTTTATAACATTGCTCTCAATGCACGATCATGCTTGCAGACGCGTGCGCAGTCAACATTACTGTCAACAAGTTTTAACATGATTGACAGAAAAAAGTCAGGGCGTTATTAAAAATTTTTTTAAGCGTTTTTTAGGATTCAATGCTTCTTTCTTAATTTGAATTGAAATTTTATTATCAGAAAAAATTAGCGTGTCTATAATTATTTTATACACTGCCTGAGTTGAATTGCTCCGAATCGTTCTTAATATAATCGTACGATGTTTGTCGTGAATAATTTGTAAATTGTTTAACAGCAAAATATAATATGATATATTCAAAAATTTTGATAACTCTTGAATAATTATCGAAAGGATCGCGTGGAGTGTCGAGTACGAAACAGACTGGCCGCTCCGCCCATATCGCTGCCTGCGCTATTCACTGGCCATCATGTGCACGTCGAACATGTTCACTTATTCGATATGTCATATCTTCGATTGTAATTATTATTTTCGCAATTTTGCAAATCCAGCGTATTTCTAATTTAAAAAAGTATTATTTAGCGAAAAGTGGAGATCCGGGGCTCACGCAAGAAAAAAGTTATGAGCTTTTAAGCAATCAAATCATCTGAAAAAGAACAATTTTCGTATAAATAATTTGCAATATATCCGGTTCTACTTAACTTTTTTGCAATTAGAAAAATTCAGTCGATTCCTTATGCAATAACAAATATTTCCATTTTTCTCGCGTACCGATAGCTTTGATAGACAAAAAGTTTTAGCCTAAACGATAAAAAATTAGATTGTCCTAGTATTTCATTTAGTTGATTGATTATATCTCCGGTTCTACTGAATATTTTTTGAGTTTAAATTTAAAAAACATGGACGTATTCGTTATTCAATAAAGAATCATTTGACATGCCGACTCGACAAGTCAAATACAAAGAATGTTATGACCGTTAAGCAATTAATTTGTTGATAACAAATTAGTTTCACCACTTACAGGTCTCTACCATCGAAAATCAAATTCAGGAGGTCAAAATACATGATGTTATATTTCGAGCTTACAAAATAGAAAGCGATTTTATCTATTTTTATTTAACACTATATGTGATATATATTTGAATCTCCAATCTATTAAAAATATTTAAATACAGTTTTTTGCTTCGTTGACTCTTTTAATATATTTCATGAAATATAGGTCAAACCTTTCGTTCATATTTTTAAGAACGAATTGCAGCTATCATCCAGTATTCACAGTTTATAAAAATGATTAAATTTGAGAGATTAAACTACTTTCAACATATTTATAAAATTTTTAAGTTTTTTATGATTCAGATTAATTCAGACTTCCAATAATTTCATATCGTATGATCACCTCGATCTTATTACCGAGTATAAAAGATTATCCATAGTAAACTTATAATTTTATGTGCACAATTGTTCAAAATGGTACAAGCTTATTTTTGAAGGTGAAATATAAATTTACTTAAAAACTGTAGAATATTAATCAAAATAATAATTTTAATATTAGTTAATAATTGGGGTTAAGTATCTTCAGCGTCTATTGAAATCAGCTGATTTTCTGTCAAATGTAAAGTGTCAATAGGTATTTGTAAGTTAATTACAAATTTTTTCGACGCGTGTTAATTTGAAATCTATTATGTTAGTCATAATTAAAGTTAAAATAGTTTTGCAAAAAAAAAAAACATCGATCCTGCCAGGATTCGAACCTGGAATCTTCTGATCCGTAGTCAGACGCGTTATCCGTTGCGCCACAGGACCCGTATTCTCCCATTTAGAATATATACGTATTTATTAGTTTTAACTTTCGCCTGCTTTAGTCTTCGTTATAAATAGAACATTAAAAATAGAAAAAGAACATACAGGCTTGAATTTTTTATTAGATTAAACTATAAAAATTTTAGAATAGTATCACCGTATAAATGTCAAAATTAATTCCACTGATAAAGAGCAATTTATGGATTCTTGTTTGAGTACGACGTGACATAAATCGTTGATCAAATAATTATAATTTATGCGCAGATTGTGTCAGCAATATTTTCTGTCGGTAATTATGTAAGCTAATTAATACAAACTGCTAAATTGTTTATAACCCTTTCAACAAATTAATTGATGAAAACAAAAAGATTTGGTGGAATATCTCTAACACCAAAAATATTACATTTTTAACACCACTGCTTTTGTACCATAAATATTACATTTTCTATGAAAATAAAACCTGTTGAAATTCTTCATCATTCAGTATGCTGTCTGTATAGATATATTTTGACAAGATAATTTTTTATCTTAAATATTGCACAATGTGCTAATAAGGAAAACCATCATTAGTTCAGTAAGTCAACATAATTACTCGCCTTTCTCTATGAAAAATGTTAACTGTACTTAAGTTGTATACCCTAATTGTCAAAAATGCTTAAAAAAGTATTAATTTTTATCTCTTTGTGACAAATCTATGAATGATCTATGAATATTATCCGAATGGCACATTGATTTGTCCAAACATGTAATAATAATTTAATAAACTAAGTTCATATCAGAAATCCAATATTTCAATCATGATAAAGTAGCTTATAAATTGTATTTACATTTTTAATTTCGAGATCAAGTATCATTTCATCCATGAGACGACAAAGTTAAAATTGCATTAAGCATGAAAAGTAAGTGAAACAAATGTGCAGTCGATAAACGCCGTAAAATAAAATCCATTCAGCTAAGAGATTACACATTTATATCTACTTATATATAAATTATTTTTCAATGTTATTATTGAACGAAAAATGAATAAAGAATTTTTTAATTATACTTTAGGCATTGAAGTGGACAGTGTACTAGAGCTTATTCAAAATACAAAAAACAAAAGTGATCAAGATAAAGGTTGTAGCAAACGGAAAATTTATTTAAGACAATGGGTTATGTGGTTAAATTTTTTGCTGGTTCAGATTTTACTAGGCATGGCTTATGGATATTCAGCTATTTCACTCCAACAATTGAAATCAACAAAAAACGATGAAACAAATGATATAAAATTTGAAAATGGAGAAATACTTGGGAGACCGCAGTTAATAGTTGACTCTCTAGATACGCAATCATGGATAGCCTCATCAATGTTACTATTCATGATGCCTGGCTGTTGGATTCTAGCCGCATCCAGCAATATACTTGGTCGTAAACCAATTTTATTGATATCAGTAGCAGGATTTACTGTATCATGGATGATTATAGCTTTCGCAAATAATGCTTACCATATTATAGTTGGTAGAAGTTTGAGTGGAGTGTGTGTAGGGATCATAACAGGATTAACATACATGTATTTAGGAGAATGTGCTATTCCAAAGCTGCGAACAATTTTTTATACTCTTTTTACCGTGTCATTTACTGTAGGTATAGAGTTATGCCACTTAATAGGTACTTGGTATCATTGGAGAACAACAGCATTATTTTCTGCAGGTTTAGGAATCATTACGTTTTTTTCAAATTATCATTTGCCTGAAAGTCCTATTTGGTTAATTCATAAAAATAAATTGAAAAATGCACTGAAATCGTGGTTATTTTTGAGAGGAAAAACAAGTGACAACGAATTTGAATCAATTTGTTCAATAATTCAATTTGAACTCAGACAAAATAAAGTTAAGGAATCTAGAATAATGAAATTTTATTCGCCTGGTTTTTGGAAACCATTAGGTATCCTTATAGCACTGTTTACAACTGCACAAATGAGCGGCATGGCTGCTGTATCTTTTTATTGTACACTAATTATAGCTGAAATTACTAACTCAACAAACGGATACATACCTACACTAATTTTAGATACGTTTCGTGTAGGCGGATCTATCATTTTATGTTTTTTAGCAAAACAATTTACTACGAGAACGTTGATGATATTTTCAGGAATATCTTGTTCATTGACTCTATTTTTACTGGGACTGTCTATATATTTTAATTTTTGGACACCTTGGGGTCAACTAATTTTACTTTTTGTTCACGAATTAACTATTGTAATAGGTCTAGGTCCTTTACCATGGACATTTTGTAGTGAACTCTTTGCAGTAAATCATAAAGAAGTCGGAGTTAGCATCATTACAAATTATTATTGCATAATAAGTTTCGTTATGGTAAAGGCATGTCCATATATGTTTTCAACATTCCAACCGTGGAGAACTTTTCTAATTTATTCCTCGTTTACCCTAATAGGTACAATTGTACTTTATTTTATTTTGCCAAATACTAAAAATAAATCAATGAAAGAAATAGAACTTCTATTTTCAAAGAATTCGACGTCTTAAAGAACCTGAAAGTGAAAACAATCTTCGAATATTTTTGGTCGTTCTGTGATTGCAAAAGAAATGAAATAATTACCGATACATTACAATTATCTTGTTCATCATCCGAATCTTAAAGTTTTGTAACAGATTGTAATATACGATATATATGCTTCAAAATTGTCAAAATTCCGTGTTTTAACATTGCGTGATATACAATGCATTTACTAAAAATGCATAAACTTTTTTGTTACTATAACCAAATAAAACGTTCGTAGAAATCTTATCGTATCATTTGGTAAAGGTAATCCTTCATGAGAGCAAGAACAAAAGGCAAAAACGCCAGTCATTGTCTGAGTATCAAGAAACGAAGATATCTATATAATATGTTTAAATAGTAATTTTTCATACTATAAATCATTTTCCTACATAGTCCAGTCGTATTACAATTAAGGGTGGATGTGCGGAGATCATGGTAAATTTTATATGCGATCGCTCAAGAATTTCATAGAGAGTGCTAATCTCAATTCCACGTCTTTAGACTGTGTTATATTTGTACAATAAATGTTTATAGCTAAAACAAGCGAAAAGAATCTCATTTTTTGACTTATTTTTACATTTTTCTCAAAAACAATGCATTCTAGGATAAAAAGTGATGATAATTAATGATTTTAATTAATTATCATTCCTTTTTATTAATAATATTTTATAATAGATATAATTAATAGATTTTTATTAATAATATTTAACATTATAAAGCCTCGTTTCGACATATTTTCCAATTGTCGAGTTATTCTATTTGTTGTTCGTAATCTATCACAATTTACCTTGAGTACTTCGAGATACGTAACTTTTTATGCTTCATACGTGTAATCATGTCAGTTACTTTTTGAGTTATTAAACTTCAAAGTCAACCGTTTATTATAGGTGTAAAAACAAGAAGATATAATGTTGTGTAACTTGTTCTGCATACTTCTAAATATTCATTAGCAAATTGTATATCTTTTAAGAATTGTCCACAATCGGATGAAATATAAGAGCGAAATAGACTCTCGCCACTCAAAAGCCGTGATGAGGGGATTGTTGAGAGTAGGAAAGAAAAATTGACTTGGCGTAGATACAAATTGTTAGTCGATATTGTTAATAAATATTAACCTGCGAAAGTTTTAAAAGTTGCTTCCAAAATACTCCTTACGAAAATAAATAATAATTTGTTTTATAAATAAATACAATTGTTCCAAAGATATTAATAATTTTCTACTTTTAATTAAAAACGATAATCAATTTTCTATTACAAGAACAAATATAATGATATTAGTATGTATGAATATCAAAGTATTCCTTGTAAAATACTCTCAAATGCGTCCTAATTAATTTTTTAAAATAATGAATTCATTCGGCATCAATATTGAATAACTGAACGGCTGTTGCATTACTTGATAAAGATACGTCGTCGAAATAGACGAAAATCGAATCGGAAAAAATAAGGATAGCAAATTTCATTAATAATTCTGCGCAATTTAATTTTTGTTAATAAAAAAATTGTACAAGTTGAACACTCCTTGATCAGTAGAAATTGCAGCTGCGTAGAGTTTCAATACGGTTTTTACAAAACATTGAATCGTTGGCAAAATTCACGCGCAATTTTACGATCCAATTAAAATATAATTATAACTATTTGTTAAAAAATGGATATTATTAATTACGACAGCGATATATGCACCTAAAATATGAGTATATAACATAGACTGAAGAAGTACTGTGCTTTGAAAAAGGCTGTACCCATAAGCATGGGTTACTTTTCAAATATCCAGCAACTACTTTAACATAAATAATAACTTACATTCATTTCTAAAAAAACGCTACACAGATTCAATTTCTACTTATCTGAGAGTGTTCAACTTTTTTAATTTTTTGATCAACAAAAACTAAATTACGCGAAATTATTAATAAGTTAATGCTATCCTTGCTAATCACGTTTTTCTATAATTTTTTCTTTTTATATAATTTTGTCAATTTTTGTCGACTTCCCACCAAGTTTCTTCAGAGCGTAATGGAGTATATTATTGCGTACTAAATTAAGCGGTACCTTTCTGCTGTTATAGCAACGGGTGAAGGAACTTAGCCGGAAATCGACTCAGAAAAATTATAGAAAAATTCAAGGATAGTAAAACTCATTGATAACTTCATGCAATTTAGTTCTCATTAATTACATAATTCCAAAAGTTGCACATTCCGAAATCAGTAGAAATTGAATCTATATAGCGTTTCAATGCAGTTTTTGTAGAAATGAATCCTTAGAATTGTTAACAAAAAATAAACGAAATTTTTCTATCCGATCAACATATCATGATAACCATCTGTTAAAGCAATAAATATTATTTCACATTTTTTTATAGCAATACATGTTCCTAAAGACCAATAGCTAACGTAGATTCAAGAAGGACTCCGCTCTTAAAAGGGCTATATTCGTAAGGATGAATTATTTTTTAATAACCAGCATGCAAAATAAGAAATATTGATTATTTCTTTAAAGAATGGTTACCATGATATTTTGAGTAGATAGAAAAATTGTATTTGATATTTACTAATAATTCTGCATATTTATTTCTACAAAAACAGATTTAAAACATTACGCAGATTTTATTGCTATTGATCTCGGAGTATTCAAATTTGGAATTGTATTATTAACGAAAACTAAATTGAGCAGAGTTATTGAATAAATTTTTCTATCCATGCGTAGTTTTCTGTCTTTTTCACAGGTCGATTTTTTTCGATTTTCCGCCAAGTTCCATCACCCCTTGATTTGCGATTCCTCCCTACCCAGTTAAGATGGCATGAGGATTCCGTCCTTCCATTTATTTCTTTTGTGACAAATGAACGTAGAGAGAATTCAAGAATTAAAATATATTAGTAAATTTGTTATCGTTTATTGTCATCTTAATTTAAAAGTGGATAATTGTTAATAACTTTCAAAAAAAAATATTTATTTTCGGAATAATTCCACGTTCAAAGAATGCATTGTTCGAGCAACTTTTTGATCTAATGTAAGATGTCATTTATTTAAAGTGTCCGCTAATTGCATATTTGTATCGATCCACCGTGGCGCTTTAAAAGTCGTTGCAAGCTTAATTTACGAATCTCTATGTTTTTAAATCGATACAAGTTGAGAGGATTTCAATTATATAATCATTTTCGGCACTATATGACGATATTTAATATTATTTTAACATTTATAATCGAAAAATTGAGTTTCATGTCTGGATTTTTTAAAATTTATTTGAGGAATTGGATTTTTATAATTTACACAACGTATTTTTCAAATAGTCACATATACAGTGTATTTACATAAAAAGTATAAAATATATGCCAAAAGTACAACAAAGTATCGAATTTTCGCTATATGCGATATATTAATTTCTACATAACATTGCGTTTATTTTAAGAGAGAAATCTTAAAATATAATAATCACACTTTACCGAGACAAAAATAAGTTTGAAATAGTGATTTAAGCACAATAGCATTTTCTTTCAATTTAATGCACTTAGGTAGTAAAATCAACAGTCATAATATTCAGAACATTCATATAAAAAATTAAACCAACTGAAAAATAAATTATTGAAATAAAAGAATAGGGAAATCAATTAATCCCCTTATAAAAAAGTGATAGCAATAAAAATTCATTTTATCATAATTGATACGGATAATTTTGAAGATAATGAAAATAAAAGCATACTGCATTGTTATTATTTTTACACTCATTTTAAAAAGCTAGCAGCGAGTATATTGTTTGGTAAAAACGAGAGGTTATTATGTTTTGGAATTATTCTGATAATCTGATATCTGAACGTGTAAGATTGAAAACATTTTGTAATATAGTAATCTATATTAAAAGAGTAGGATAAACGTTTAATAGTAATTTGACCTATATTACTGAAAAGAACTATAGAGATTGTTTACGTCCGTTTTCGATATGATAATTCATGAATTTAGAATACGCGGAACTGTTTTATTAATACAAATTTTCCACTATGATATGTGTTTTATAACAAAAATTGAAAAATCCATTTTTGAAAAAAGGGATTTATTACGTTAAATATGTTAATTAATATGACGAGAAATGAAAAAGTAGATGGAAGCGCACGAAGCGCGTGTTGCTAGTATGAATAATAATTGAAAGACTATTATTTCATATATACTAGCAGACTTATATACTTATATAATCTCGAAGACTTAAACACTTAACTTTGGATTGTTTTACCCCTTGGGAATTCACAAAAAAGTATGATTGTTGGTCAATAGAAGAACATGTGACTTTAAAAAGTCACGATTTTTTACTTTTAGTTTTTTGTTTGTTAAAGCGATAAATTGATATAAATCGAAATTATTAAAAGAAGGTTCAAATAAAATTAAAAAATTACATTAAATAAATTTATTTAATCAACATTACAAAAAATATTAGATTTGCTATTAAACAATTTGTACAAATTAGACACAAGAAGTCTATTTGCAAGCGAGTCTACAGAAATTTGCAATCACTCTTCAGCACACTCAACTTTAACTTTAACTTCAGCACAGCAGTGAATTGGTGAATTGAGTGTTCTCATCATGATATGTACAGAGAATGTCTTATAAATTTACATTGATGTGAGAAATCTCGACTGAACAAGCCGGTATTAATCATGTACCACATGAAAACAGAATGTTTTTGATGAATAAGATCTTGAATATAATTTAATAACTAATATTCTTATGCTCAATCCAATTTGTAAATTAATCAATAGCTATTAACCCTTTAGCCTATAGCCACGAGTCTGACTCGTGGTAAAGAATTTGTGCCATAAGCGAAAACAACGAGTCTGACTCGTGGTAAGCACGGCGCGCGAACGAATTTCTTGCGTGTTATAGCTCGCGCAATTGGTAGATATCGTGTAGGCTAAGGGGTTAAAGTGCTGATGCACTACTGCGTAAGCTGTGGAGCCGTGGCTAAGATTATAGTTACCAGGAATAGATGAGAACATTGATCGAATAATGGACGAAAGGTGAAAGCGATTTGTATATATAGTTTAGAGATTAACTATTAATATTCGTAGTATCGAAGTCAAAGATTTGTCCAAAATCAATTTAATATGGTTTCAAACTAATCAGATTTTTGCGGTAAACTTAACTCGACACAAGAATTGATATAGAAATAGAGATAAACTTTTTAAAGATTTAATGGAACGAAATTATTAATCTGGATTGATTTTTTGAAAAATTGCAGAGTCATTTCATCCAGAGCTGAGTGGAGTGGCTCTGTAACTTCAATTATTAT